CGCTGGCATCGCGCCTACTGGCGAAGGCGCTCTCCCTCCCGTCGGAGGACCCGCCGCGTCGTGGCGGAAGCCCCCCCCCCAACCGTGACTGAAGTCAGTGACCGGCTGGAGAGAGCGCGGGGGAGCGGTGTGGGACCACTGGAGTGGCGCTGCCCGCCGAGGCGCGCTTATCCACGAGACTGCCCCCGTAGACGCCAACAGACGGCGTCACGGTCCACCTGGACCTGCTGCCGATCGGGGCGTTCGCGACAGCGAGGAGGAGTGCTGCGGAGGCGTGACTGGGAGCGCTCCCCCAGCGTGCGACGTGGGCCTGGGTCGACGGGTCTGCGACCGGGGGAGTAATAGGAAGGCGGCGCTGGGGTCCTCACCGAGCACCCAGACAGTACAACATTGGTACTGCGGGAGGCGGCGGGGAGGATTTGCTCCATTTACCGATCTGAGATGGTGGCGCCCAAAACGGCAAAGCAACATCTCCTGAAGCACCCGTCCTTCGAGGAAGACCCCATAATCATTTGCTCCGACTCGCAGGCGTCGCTGGCAACGCCACGAGGTGGACAAGTGGCCCAGACACCCCCCCCCCCTCATCCCCTAGGTGCCGCCATCTGGGAGTATATGATGGCCCTAGTGGCTGTAGGGGGCCGAAGAATCCACCATAGAAGGAGGGCGGCGATAGCCCGATTAAGCTGGGCGTCCAGTGGAGCCTCGGCTCTATCATGGGCATTGGGCAAGGACTCTGCGAGCACCCCCGTCTCCTCCATCTTCGACGGCACTCCAGTCAGAAAGCTGTCCCCACCCGAGTTTCCCAGCAGCATGGGCCACATGAAACCGAACAGCGCCGAGCCGCTCGACGCTGAGGACCAGGCGAGAGTAACAGTGAAAAGGTGAAACGCTCGAAACGGCGCGCGCCGCCGGCCGAGGGCGCCGAGCCGGCCCAGGCCGGCTGCGGGTCAAACAGAAGCCGTCTCCGCGGCGGCCGCCCAGTGACAGCGACTCGGACTGACGTCGAGGCACCGCTGCCGCCTCCGCCGACCAACCCGCCGCCCAGCAAGGGCAGTTTGAAGGCGGCTGCGCCGGTGAAGGTGGCGCGGCCTGGCAGGGGCCGCGGCCGGCCCACTCCCAGCTACCCGTCCCGCGAGGTGCTCAGTACCACCGACTCGTCCGATTCTGAGGCAGCGCCGTCGGCGGGCCGCCGCCAGCAGTGACGACGACCGGCTGGCGGCGTTCGCGCGGGACTTGTCCGACTCCTGGTACTCGGACTTGCCGCCCAAACTGGACGCCGGCGGCGTGAGCACCAGCAACGCCAATAAAAAGTCCACCTTCATCCGGCTCTTCTCGCACCGTGTCAAAAGGACTACGCCGCGCGGCCGGCCGGCCAACTCGAATGAGCGCAGCGAAGGGCACACGTCCCCGACGGCGGCACTGGCGCCTCCCGCCGCGCCGCTGCCGGCGTTGCTGGCAACGCTGATCCAGGCCCATCGATTTCTACTGTTTTGTTGCCTACGTGCCGCTGCCGCCGCTCAGCCAGCACAATGGCGTGCCGGTGTTGCGCTGTCGGATCGAAAAGCGGCTCGTGCAGCGGACGGACGGGTGCGGCCCGCGCGATGAGCCGCCGCCGCACACCGAGCTGCGCCGCGCGGACGTGAAGGTGGAGCTGGCAGCGGCCTGCTCAGTCCCCTCAACGGCGTCGACCGGCTCTCCGGCGATTTGCGGTCAGAAACGCCGCCGCTTCTGGGACCAAGGTGTCAGAGCGCGGCGCTGCCCGTGAGACGTTAAGTTAGCACAGGCAATGTCGTCTGCACTCCTTGCAGTTCATGTTGAATACACAACCATGTTGCGAAGTAATAGGCGCCGGGTTTTTCAGTTCATAGAACTTTTTCCCTGGCTATTACACCCCACAACCGAACACTGACACCTTGCACAAGTATGACTGTGTGTATGAATGTTAATAAATACATGAACCAATGTTGTGTTTTCGGTTCCAGTACCTTCTTTGGGCACCTCGGCAACAAGTAAGTAATCCGTTAGCTTTGCCACACCTAAGATAGGCTCCCACGTTGTTATTTGCTCCCGGGTTAACATAAACCGGTTTAACGTAACTTTTGCATCCCGGCCAAAATTGCCGGTTAACTGTCCCACCGCTCGAGACTGGCGCTAGGCTGGCCGAGCAAAAAAAAAAGTTTGTCCGCGGCTTCGTCTTATTCGCAGCTGCTGGACACGGGGGAGGGGGGGGGGAGGGGCTGCATCGGACGAAAAGCGGGCTCTGGTATTAACTGGATTTTTTGCCAGCTGGCGCCGTATGGTGGCGCTAGCAGAGCTTCTTACATATCAATGCTAGATATAAAAGAATGAATATTTACCAATCAATTTTTCATTTAAAGCCATTTGAAATATTTATGTCCATCCTACTACCGCGCTTAGGTATATCTAAAATTAAATAGGTACCTTTCGTGCGTCGCCAGCTAGCCAGCCAGCTGACGCAATCCAGCTTTTACCAAAGCCCCGAAAAGCGATGACGTGAGCCCTAATATTGGCTTCACCACACAATTTGAGCCCTCAAACTGGAATCAGGTGAGCTCGAAAATGGGGATCAGGCTGAAAACTGGTATCATAGTGAGACTAGTTTTAGAGCTTGACACCGATAATGGGTACTGACTGAGCTCTGTTTCTGCGATCAATAATACCGATTTAAGGGATCGTATGAGCCCATGTGGCGCTAGCTCAGAAAGTATTCTCGAAATGTGCTGTCTGTTTTGAATATGGTACATTAGCCCGAAAACTGGTCTCTGAGCCCGAAAATCGGGACACTGTTTTCTCAGTGTAGAAGCCTCTGCTCAACCAAATTGAGTAAGAGCCTGATAAAATTGGTGTGCCAAAGGGCAAAGACCGTGCTGTGATTTACGCACGTTACGCGAATGCGTACCACATTCAGCACACGCCAACATACGAGTATGTAGCCAACTCTGTCCGATGCTTTAAATTGCGATGAAGTCCGAATTTTTCTCCCGCCTGTCATAGATGCCAGAAAATAAGCAATCTGGCTGTCATCCATATCATGTCACATGCATTCACTAATCCGATGAAGCTGAATAACTTCCCTAGCGAGTTATATAACTATCGGATTATCACTTCCAGCTCTTCGCAGTTCAAGAAAAGCTCAGGGCCCACCTGCATGAAGGTTAAGCAGGGACAACCTAGACGGCATGAAACCTATCGTGAAAATTATTAACCCATGCAAAGTTGCAAAGAGATATGAAGAGTAACAAACCAAGGTATATATCGAGCCCGATAATGTTAAGATTTTTATTCAACCCGCGCCCGGGTGGGCCTCTAAGCCAACTTCCCCATGGTGGGAAGGGCAACACCAGGTTATCTCAGAAAGTATGAAACATAGGAGGACGCAAAAAAAATCGATAGATAAAATCTTTCACAATTATAAGGGTAATTTTCGATCGGGTCATCGCTTAGGTCATCATCATCATCATCATCATCATCATCATCATCATCACCATCATCATCATCATCATCATCATCATCATCATCATCATCATCATCATAATCATAATCATCATCATCATCATCATCATCATCATACTGTTTATTGGCACAAACTGGAGGTCACCAAAAATTTAAAAAATCAAATTTTGGTTACTGATTTTGACAACTTTTCATGAATAGCCGCATAACTCGAGAACCAATGGAGCTACAGCACCGCAAGAGGCGCATTCGATAACTCTTTCAAAGCTCTTTCTGAAAAAAAAAGTTTTCAAGATTTCACCTAAGGTCAGCGGTTTAGCTTTCAGAGGGCAAAACGTAAAATTTGACGATATTGCGGAAAACATTTTTCTGTAATAACTTTTAACACCAATCTTGTATTACGTTGATTTTACCGGCACTGCATTTCTTTCGCCGAGACGCGTAGAATAAACTGTAGGCTAAACTGAAAATATCAACTTAAAAATTCGACCTCAGGTCAAGGTCACATGAAAGGTCATGTTGCATATAAGTCGATTCGTATCGTTAGCTTGACGCATCCATGGTGTTTCCAGCTATCTAGCAAGTTTCTGTCTAAAGTTATTGAGAAAAAAAAAACTGTTGGAGAGGTTTCATGACCTGAAATGACATTCAGAGCATACAAGGGGTCACGGGTGCAATTTTCCGATTCAGTGTCATGTCTACCTATATCCCGACGTTTTAGAGTGCTTCCGTTCAAAAGGAGAGAATTCCAATTTTCTCCAATGGACTAAGGTACCTACAATGAAGAGGTCGCAAAACTGACCTGACTTTACGTCACCAATATCAAAATTCCGAGATATACAAATTGTCGGTACTGAACCTCCCATGCAATAGCCCGAGTTGAGACTTCTTGGATGTAAACTGTAGGAATGACAGAATCGCAGTTTTTAAAAACATGGTCACTTAAGTTGACCGTGTGACCTAACCTTACGTGACCTGGGGTTCAAAATTTCACATCCGATGCGAAATTGATACATCATTAGCTATACCAAGGTTCTAATATAATATAATATAAATACAAGCCGCGGTTTTCTTCACACGCAAGAAAGACTGGCAGCTGTGGCCCAAAACGCGTCATTTTATACAAAGTTGAATTTACATCCACGACAACGAAAGAAAAAGGTGGTCTTTCGTCAGCCCAGACAATTGGAACTTGGAAGTGTAATCAAATACACGATTGGGTTCGTCCTTATAATAAGAAGGATGGATGAAAAAGGGATATTGTAAAATGTGAAAAACAAACGGTTTGTGATTGTAAATGACACCAACAGAAAGCTAAGGAAGTCACCACCGGCGTAAACGTGACAAACCATGGCATTGCTATGTTTTTGGTCATTTTAATTAATTGATTCATGACAAAATAGGCGCCAGTTTACGCAGATCACAGCCCTATCGGTTATATCCCCACCGGCCACCCTTTCTGTGGGGCTGCTGGCCGGAGTAGTTCGCCAATCTCCCGCTAGGTGTCAGGCCGCGGACGTATAAATTCGCCGAGGTCTGGAAGCGCCGGTATTGTATGTTCAGTCGACACCATGGAGGCATTCAGACTGATTGTGTTGTGCAGTGTGCTGGCGGCGGCCGCGTGCCAGCGGAGAGGTAAGAGACGACCATCTCAGCGCCCCACCGAACTTACAGGAACACGAGAGCAGCGGCACGGCAGCACAAAACAAGGGGCATAGTGCAGAAAAACATCAACTAACAAAAACAAAGCATGCAAAGGCACAAATTAGAGTAGTAGGTACTAAAGATAAGCCAACAAAATGGAAATTAGAAAATAAAACGTTTGAGCGCAGTGCAGTAAACGTAAATCATTACAATGCCCAATACCAAACTATTCCAAATATTTTCATTTCACTTGTCTTCAAATGAGGAAAATTATGATCTTATATTTCACCCATTTGCATATGACGGGCATGGGTTTTTGGGAGCTTTAAGCCCTGCGTAATCTGAAAAAGACTTTCGATTAACTTAAGCGATTACGTGGTATAGAACGTCCAGACGTAGTGAGGAATTTCGAAAATCGCACGGCCAGAATGAGTGAAATTCAAAATCCCCCTTGTGTGAAAACCGCCGCATGATGTTTGGTATACTTCTTTCCTTTCCCATGTATTTTAATATCATATCCACTCAGTGGCTCTTCCTATTATAAGCTTTAACAATGAATGCGAACTGCCAGCAAACACCACTGACTTTAGCAGTGAACAGTGAGTGTGGATTTCCATTTCTTTTCGGACAATCGCATTCGATAGATTTAGTCTACATCCTTATAGTTTACAAATTTGTGAACAGTTGTCGTTTTCAACACTAACGAAGCAAAAGACGTTTCATAAAAAATACTTTGCACTGCACAAAGAACTGTACGGTAAAGTAAAACCGTAAAACGGTATGTGCAGCATCGGTAAGTAGGTACAATGAAAGAAAATGAGACGAGTTTTTACCAGTGTGACGAAAAATTGTCCCTCAGCAGCGTCCAATGCCGCTCATTAAATTCGCAAGAAAAGGCGCCGACTGTGCGCTTTAAATACACAAGTTGCTGAACAAAAATATAATTACCGTCTCAAACTGCCGTGCCTTCAGATGATGTTAAAAGGACCATCTGTTTTGAAGAAAAAAATCATTGAAGCAATTCAAAACCGTTGTCCTTACGTGAAAGTATAATTATGGCGTTAAAGAGTGATGTTGTGTCGTTTATGTTTATGTTTATGTTTATGTCGTTGATCTGATAAATATCTCTATTATAAACCTGGAAATATTTGCATTGCCTTTTACCTGAGCCTTATATGGACTTATTACAACCGTATTTCTCCATACATAAAAAAACAGTACCTACAGTTTTAGCTGCTTAAGTTGCTAAATAGACATGAATAGGTACTTTTAATTAAAAAGGGTCGTAATAATCTACATAGGTACATAGTAGCAAATATGCAAACACTGAGTGCGTAAACAGCATCTGCATGTCAAACGGTTTTTGTGATAGGTAAGACACGCCAAGCAGTTAGTCATTCAGCCTTGGGTTGCTATTCCCCATCTCTATCCACCCCACAGCAGTGCGCAGGGTGCACGCTATCCATCACCCCTCCCCTCCCCTCCCTCTCCTATCCCAGCCGGCGCGGCGCCGCCGTCGGAGGACGACGGGTCTCTCCCCTCCCCTCCCCTCCCCGTCCCGGGCTTGTTTGTGGTCTCTCCGGGCATAGTCACGCGTTATGCAATATGCAGAGTGGCTTCCATCCGGCCGCAGCAGCTCGCCCGGCCGTACCGCGCGCTGTTTACTCAACACCGGCCCGGAGCTGGCAGCCAGCGGCTGCAGCCAGCATGCCAATGGCTCGGCTTGCGTCAGGTCCGCCGCGCTGCATCACAACCGGGAGCTCCCACCCGTCGGTACACAATGAACAGGCGATCTTCGATGCATCGCATTAAGCTGAGAGAGCAGGACATGATGAAATTGAACAGGTTGCTGTTGATGACAACTTAAGTCGACATTTTATCTTGAAACTTCCGACAGATCATCGAGCTTTCACACCATGCAATTGAAAGTCATTATGTTTATAAATAGCTCATAACTACAAATGCAAAATCTATCGAACAAACATTCAAAAATTTTGAGCTGTCTTTCGACAATATTCCACCCAACGCCACTTTGAAAAGCCTGGCCCTGGATATGCCTAAGGCGGTAGTTTACTCGGTGTTTAATATATTATCCTGGTCCTGTGTCGGTGCAGGTGTCCCTCCCGGTCATCCCGGCCACCTCTCTCCCACGGAGAAGGGCAGCCTGTCGTTCACCGTCCACTGCTCATGGCGTGTCGCAAGGCGGCGGCGGCGGCGGCGGCGACTGGTACCGCAGTTCAGCTGTAACCGGGTCACCACTCATCGCCCGGGGCGGTCACGAGCGGCCTCGGCCCCCGCCGCCCCCGCCTGCACGCGCCGCGAATCGCCGCGAATCCCCGGCCGAACACACAGACTGGGTACACAGAGAGTTGCCTGAGCCAGCCGGATACCGACGAGACACCAAAAATCCCCGTCCAAATACACATACCTACTGGGACTGGGTATACCCAGGGTGGGCCGTTCCTAAACGAACAGCTTTGCGAGGAAAAAAACGAGTGTTGGCCGTTGTAAAATGCGGCGAATAGTTCAAAATTATGAAGCCTCGGTTTGGGTTTTCATCTCTGAAGTAAGTCTTGGCAAAAAAAAGTTTCTGCACTGTTGATGACCTCGCTGATAGCTACCTGACCCATCTGACTCCGTCTTTCTTTCCCTCCGCAGGTCAGGGCAGCCCCACCTTCTGCCTGGAGCTGCTGAAGAGCGAGAACAAGGCACAGACCACGGCGGCGCTGCTCAAGTGCGTGAACCAGGTGAAGTCTGAGGTACAGCGCTCGGGCCGCCAGTTCCAGCTGAAGCAGCACTATGGAGACGTGGGGCGCTGCATCGCGCAGGATATCGGCCTCGTCCGGCCCGACGGGTTCGTCAACAAGTCGGCGCTGGAGCAGCGGGTGCGCACGACGCGCGGTATTGGCGAGGAGGACCGCGCCTACTACCTGACCCTGGTGCCCACCTGTGACACCTGGGACGGCTGCCTCACCAAACACTGCAAACTGTGAGCGGCGAGCGCGCGCCCTGATCAGAGACACAGGTGACGGGCGGCCGCCGCCCCCGACCGAACGGACAGTGGTGTGGCGCCCCGCGGGCGGACCGGCTGAGAAAAATGTACACAATGTACCCGTGTGTAACGCCGGGGCACGTTCTGCCACGTGCACGTCGCCGGGGTACGTCCCGCTGGGGTACGTGCCGCCGGGGTACGTTCCGACAATGCAGTCGTTTGTTAAGCGTGTTGAACGTTCCGGTACGCTGTCCTGAGGTGTGATACAGAGCTCTACTTAGTGTAGGCAAGACGCCAGCTGCGGCTTGGCGCCCCAAAGACACATTTTCATATGGATGTTGCCAGTGCGATGACTCGGTTCGATGGCTTCCGCATGCAATGAATCCACAAACGTGATGGTAGGTAGGTGGTGAAATAAATGCAAACCGAATTTGTAATCCAATGTTTGACCTTTACCCTGACTGAAGCAGAGAAAAGAGTGGTATGGATATGCATCTGTTGGCTCGGGATTAGGATGGAATTCCTCTTGCTGAGTCATATAATTTGCAAAATATTTGCAGCCTCTAACAATACTTAAAATTCATATCAATCATAATTCTTGACCTTCACTCATGAACATATTTTAATCTCGCGATCTACTGGCAACGTAAGCACTGTGCAGCAACTGCAATAAATTAAGCCTCAAGCAAAACAAAATAATCAAACATGATAATAAAGAAGAAAGAATACTGGCGCATCATAAGCCATGGTCGTACTAGGAGGTCTGAGATCGAAAGTTCTGGTAGGTCAGGGGCAAATAATGATTGCCCAATACTAAAGATTACTGGTTATAGCGACTCAAAAATGCCTTCAAAAGGAATAGTGATGTAGCAGCATCATTCAGCGGAGGACGCGTAACGTATGATGCAGTGAAGCAAGCAGCTTTAAATCTGGACATCGTCATGAAGACTGGCTGTTCTTTGTGAAGAATGAGATAGTGAACACATGTTGCAACATTGCAGCGCATGCTCGCAAATGCATCGAATAAAAATGACCAATCACAACAGATAACTGATAAGATACCATCAGACACATCTAACAGTTTTTATGAACCATTAGATGGGAAAAGCGTCAGGTTCTGATAAGAATGCTGTTTACCAAGCCATCCGACACCTTCCTTCGTTGCAAAACATTATGCGTCACTGACTGTAAATTGATTTTAAATGCATAAAAGCTTTACAAACGCTGTTTGTGGCGAGAAGAGTTCGACTACAGTGTACACCAAGGACAGCCAGAAGGTGAAGTGGACCGAGGGTAGGGGGCGGGGGGAGCAGGATGCATCTGGGTGGGAGCGACCGATGACGGGGAATTGGGAAAGGGTGAAGCGACTGCACTGAAAACTTTTTACCATTTCCTGAAGGGTAAACCCGCCATAGCATGGTAGCTTGACACACAGACGTTTTTTACCACCTTCCAGATGGTAAATTTTACTCTTTCATGAAGAGTAAACTCGCCAGGGAGGGGTAACATGACACACAGACGTTTTTTACCATCTTCTGAATGGTAAACTCTTTTGATTTACTCTTGTCTAGAGTGTAACATTTTTTGGGTTACACTCTTTGAAAGGGTAAATCTTTAACGGAACCCTTTTTTAGGGAGTAACGCATCATCTACTCTGTGCTTTACCCTCCTACAGAGAGTATATTCTTATGGCCTACCCTTTGTTCCATGGTAATGTTTACTCTTTCCTTTAGTGTAAACCCCCCAGAGGATGGTAACAGACCCACAGACGCTTCCTTCAGAAGCTTCACGAAGCTTCTGTTAACCGGAGTTCACCAACTAAAAAAAAAATGTTTCAAGAGCAACAATGTGGGTATATTTGGTTTCCGTACAAACAATACGAGGGGCACACCAACCATGAACATTGTGAGACTCTTCACTTATTCATACAAATTTATACAAAGCGTTCAGCAATGCACAAGCGATAAATAAACACCACGATACAACTTGAATGCAATTTGAATATGAATACAAGACATTCAGCGCCCTCATATTGGATTAGGCAGAGCGCACAATATTTGAAGTGAGCGACGGCGTTCCTGGGTGGTCGCCCGTCTGCATGAGATAATGAGACTGGATCACTACAGTGCAAGGCTTTTTCAAAGTCACCAACAAAATGCATAAACTTGTAGCATCACAACAAAATTAATGTACGTACTCACAACACTAGGCCACGTAGCCGTGCACGGGGTCCTGTTAACCAGGTCAAATTAGCACCACTCAACGGCACGCAATGCTCTAGCACATCGGTACTTACAATAAAATGTCCACAGAGGCTCTATAGGCGATGAACAACACACAAGCACAATCACCAACGGCCACGCCGCGCGGCACCGACACTGCTCACATCCGCTCTCGGAGACCAACGGCCGAAAACTGACAGATGCGCGCGGCCTTCAAACCGCAAACGGCCGATCTCGTTTCTGATTGGCTGATTGTTTCCATTTCAAATATCATCTTCACGAGGGTAAACAAGATCCACGCATGAAACGACTATCTGTACCCGAGTCACGATACCCAGGAGGAAAGAGTTTTCGTGATGTTCTGGATCGCGAGAGTAATATTGATATTTACATGGTAATAATGCTCTTCGCTGGCGAATAAGTTCATATTAACCACGTACCGTTACTATGCACATAATGGTAGCAGCGAGTTACCCTTTCAATATACTATTATCTTGCGGGTTTGATGAAAATGAACTCTCCAGGAGGTAGTAAAAAAGTTTTGAGTGTGGGGCAGGAGGGAGCGGCTGACGGTGGGCAAGGAGACGGCCGATGGAATGTCGCCGTACTGTGGCAACATCACATCATCTGACCGCGCGGGCCGCCGGCCTCTGATGACGTCACACCGGCGGCCCGGTGACGTCACTCCGACGGCCCTGTCCCAGAAGGCGGGTGTTGACTGCGCGAGGTCAGCTGGGCCGTTTTGCACGAGCGCGCCAGCACCGAGCCGTTCTACGCATTGTTGTGCATGTGTGGTAACCGGTGGAGGGTGGCTGGCGCACGCTAACGGCCCTCCAAACACGAACCTTGGCCCCATCGGAGCCCGGTTATGCGGTCAGGTGGCCATGACGTTTCGCCGGACTTTCCAGGGGGAAGGTACCCGATTACACTGGAATTAGGTTAGGATGCACGGACCGCGCATTTGTAGATTTCTCCAGAAATGTTCTAAAGGTCTTGCAATGCACTGACGGTAAATAAAGGTAATATTTTATCAAACTCCACCATCTCTTTGGAAGTAAAGCGACGACACTGCATTTGGTAAACGCTATTACCATGGACGAAGGAATAACTTTACATCCATGGTTCTTCCATCTATGGTATTACGTTAGTGGTACACGTAAAGGACAAAGGTGAGGGCACCACGGACCCAACTGAGTAGCCTAACACGATTTTTGAACCCAGCTGATAATAATTGCCGAGCCCCCAGCCCATACAAAGAGAGCCTCTATAAGACGGTGTAGAGTGGCTGAGTTCTGAGAAGCCTCTCCCTGCGAGGGAATTACAGAGGCCTAGCCGACCGGTCAAGCACATCGGATCAGCCGTTACGGTCCTAAATATAGCCTTATTAGTTCATTAAATTTTACCATATTGCTCAACATCCTCTAATAATTTATCTGCTGATGCCAGCTTGCACGCTCATATTTCTCATAAGCTCACATGTTGGTGTGAGCATTTAGCAGCCCTACCTAAATTTTAGTTCTTCAGCTAATGTACAATAAACAGCTACAGACCGTTTTCTCGAAGCTTATCAACACCTTTTTTCCTTCAGACTAGAAAAGCTAGAGTTCAATTTGAAGAAAATAAGCTTAAATTTGAAAAAGATGTCACTTAATTTAAATTAGATCTTTTTTTAAATATAAGTGTATCTTTTTCAAATTGAGCTCGATTTCTTTCAAACTGAAGGAAGAAGGTGTAGAAACAAAATCTCCTTGCCGCAGCTTGTCACAGTTGACGTCTAAAAAATCAAACAAATTACATTGCAACACTCGTAGGGTGTGCGTGCGCTGTATGTAAGTCTACAGATACACTCACTATCTGCGAACAACAGGTGCCTTTTCAATATTCCGTCACAAACTACGTCTCCCAACGTCTCTGCGACGCAGAAAAGTCTGCTGGACAGGTAGAAAATACATTTCGAGAGAGCCAGAACTCCATGGAAGCATTACGAGTATCTGGGTTAAAATGCATGGTTCGTAGGAAGCCAGAAAGCAAACCACTGCGCCAATCCACAACGAAGGCGCAATGAAATGTTTGTTGATGCATTTTCACTTCACTACAAATAATGATTTACATCCTAATAAAAAAACGGGTGTTAAGGGCGACTATTTCGCTATGTAGGTAATCAACGCTGTCATGCCTTTTTTGCTTCTGCTTAATGCATGCTACGGCAGAACGTTGATCCAACAAAATACAGCAGAACATTAAAAAAAAACATCAACACCAAGCACGACTTCACAAAATGACAATAAAATATCACCCTACGTTTACATAATCCCTTTTTATGCTTGCCTGTTGCCTGTTTAAGAAATGAATCATGCTATTATGTAAGGCCACGAGGCTTACGCAGCAAACGTGTGCCGCATAATTCGAGGGTATTATCGCAAGATCATCATAAACGGAGAGTAAACAACAGGGAACTGCGAAACAAAACTAAGATGCTTTGAACCAGGAAACAACCCAGTGTTGTGAAAACTCCGCGAACCGAGCTCATCCTGAGCTTTCTGGTAACAATGAGCTTAGCGCACCCCACCCGGCTAGTTTCGTGTAAGGAATTCGCTATCATTGTTCCCAGAGTTTGCTTCTTGTTACGGAGCGAGCGAAGCGAGCGTAGTCTTTCCTTAGATTAACGGAAATTTCTGAGTATGAGCGGCCGGCCGGCCGGCCGGCCGGCCGTGGTCACGCTTTTGCGAGGCTTATATCTCAGCAACCACTTGACCGATTTACATGCGGTAATTTTTGTAGGGTAGCTTCATTCCTTCTACCAAGTATTGGACTATTCCCGATGCATGTGGGTGATCCCTTATGCACGTGCCACGTGCAAAACGAAGAGGTGTCCGTTTTGTAATTGTTGCAATATCTCGGTAACTACTTGGCCGATTGCGCTGAAAGTTGGCATGTAGGTAGGCACCCACTAGGCACTGCATATACATGTGCCAGAGTTGGGGTGCTGCTGCACGTGCGCACGTGCAGGGGTCGTTTCCAGATCTCGAGAACGGCTCGACCGATTGCGCTCAAATTTGGTGCACAGTTAGGGACCGGTTAGTAGGGTGCCGTGCACAAGTCAGTTGGGACCCATTTTGCACGTGCGCACGTGCAGGGTGCCGCTTCCAGATCTCGAGAACGGCTGGGCCGATTGTGCCCAAATTTGGCACGTCGCTAGAGACCGGTTAGTAGGG